GCGTTTATTCGAGCAAATACGGTACTTACATAGTTAAACCATCCACTTACTTAATTAAATTAATACTGCAAGGGAGTGTAAGAAGTTTACACAATTACACAAATGCCATGCCAACTATGCGTGACAACAGGACTATATTTAATTAGGACAAATTCTACAACTCCCACTATAAGACAAATTTGAGAGTAAAGACATGACAGCTAGGTCAGCACTGCTTTTTGAACTGCTGAGTTTGGTAACAGCTCTTTCTTTTTCAAGTAATTGTGTATCTAGACTATTATTTCAATATTACCATTTTGTTTCTTAGCTGCTGCACAACTTTCATTTATTAATGAGCCTGATTACAATATACTGAAGGATATAGATGATGGTTGTGTTGAAGTGGAACTACCAGGACCACTTCACTTCGGTTGCTCAACCTTTAACAGGGCCTTTGTAAGTGTAAACAACTCAATATAACTTTACATTGATTTCAATAGCTTAGCAGCAATGGCCTAGTCAGCTTTGGTAGAGAATTTTCCTCTTATTATCCAGTACCTTTCCCTCTCCGTACTAATAAAGCCATTCTGGCTCCATATTGGGATGATATAATATTGTCAGAAAAGAGAGAGCTCCGTTATCAAATATTTAATAGCAATTCTTATCACACATTTAAGGTCAATAACTTCCTCACATTGCATACTGGGAAGAATTTTGCAGCTGATTGGATACTGTGGGCTTATTGGTGTCATGTATGCCCCTACCCTAACAAAGATTGTGCATTACATAAGGTGTAGATATTGCCATAATGAACAAATGTATTATTTACTGTATTTTAGTCAAATTCTTTCCAGCTTGTTGTAGCTGTACAAGGCAGTAAAACCTACTCTATTTTTATATACCAGTGTGATCTCATAAAGTGGACACTTCATAAGGCAGTTGTTGGTTACAATATGAATAAATGTTTTTATCAAAACCATGAACTGTCAAAAAGTTGGGATGTTGTCAATATTGACTGTCCTGAT